GTTCTGTATTACTTGAAAAAAAAATAAACCTCATGTCTAAGGAAAAAAAGCATGCTAAGAAAACACGAGAGATTCCTGCTTTATCTACATGTCTAGAAATCATAAAGAATCGCACGTTACCAATTACTCTGCTGCTTAAAAAACTCAAAGCTGAAATACACACCCAAGAATCCAGGATGTAAGAACTGGGGGAGACTCTTCGGTTTGTCAAATAAAAAACAGATCATCTGACCCCAGTGTTCATTACATAGTAAGTACATGGAAAAAGCAAAATTAAATTCCAAAGTAAGAGTAGTTAGATCACCGCTGGTCAAAGGAACTCCGGGAGGTCAGGTGGGCCGCCTGAGATGTCCCCTACCGCCTCTCCGCGCTTCTCTGCCAGGAGTCAGTACGAACCCACACATCTTATAAGGTGCCATGACAAACCTCAAAAGTGAGGATTGTTCAAGGCCGATTTACATGCTACCTTGAGGCCGATTTACCTCAAAAGTGAGGATTGTTCAAGGCCGATTTACACGCTAGTGTTTGCACAGTCCACCGCCAACGGGATTTAAGAACAACGACGTGGAAGTGAAACGCGTGGCAGCGGCACAGGAGCGGGGGCGGGAACTAGGAGCACACACGGTGAGGTCGACGCCCCGCCCGGGGGCAGTGACACCTGAAGGTAGACAGTGCGCACTGTAAATCCTACAACTGCTAACAACAAATTTAAGGGGCATAAATAATAATCCGATAGTGGAGATAAAATGGAATCAGAAAAAAAGAAATAATCCAAGTAAATAAAAGCAAGCAAGCGAAAAAGGCAAAAAGCAAAGAACCGACAGAACAAATACAAAACCACCAGAAGGACGACTGATTTTACCCCAGTGACAGTAATTACACTCCACGTAAACGGTCTACGCCGCTCCCGCAGGGCGTCGGGAAGCGGAGGAAAGGGAGGAAGGCGGGCGCAGAAGCGACGCCGCGGCCCGGTGTTCTCGCACGACAAAGCCTCTGTGTCTTTCGCCACGTTCACAAGGACAGAGCGGCACCCACAACTGGCTAACCGCGACGACCCGTGGGGTGGACGAAGGAGAAAGGGTCTATGAGCCCCCTGTGGAGACCCCGCGGGCAAGACAGCGCATGAAGACAGGTCACGACGACAGTGGGGTGACGACCTAGCTTCCTCCTTCCCCAAACGTCTCCCTGCTGCGTGGACATTTAACAACGACCACCATCCCTCGCACGATCGCGGGAGATCAGGTGTTTCTTTACCAGGGAGGACACAAGGCTGTGCCGCCCTCCCCATGGTGCCAGTTAGTCATCCGTGACACTACGTAATTCCTCAGTGTACGAGACAGAAATGGTACCCACTCCTGTACATGTTCACGGAACCTGGTCCTTACAGCTGAAGATGCTATTCCTTCTACAGACACATCTAAGAAAAATACTTCTTCAACATTACTTTATTTTTGTCAGATGTAAACAATCAATAAATGCGACAGAAAAATACACACACTCTTCTAAAAATAGCTTCTGTTTCTGTGCATGTCCTTGAAGTAACGTTAGCAATGATTTCTGGAAAGTATATTTTAGATACCTGATCTTTATACTGAGTTTTAGGATTACTCTTAAAGCTGCTTATACATACCATACAGTCTTTTGCTAAAATTAAATCCCACCGTATGTCCAAGGATGAGAATGAATCGTAAAATAATTTTTTTCGATGGTGGTAAAATTTCATAGAACATAAAATGTACCACCTTAACCATTTTTAAGTGTATCTTTTGGTAGTAAAAAATTTTTTTTGAGAAAACGTTTTTAGTAAAGAACCTATTTTAAAAGGGAGTCCGTTCTGACACATATAGCACAGATGAACCTTGAGGAGACTGTGCCAAGCGCAGCAAAAAATGCCACGAAGAGAAACGTTGCGTGACCCCACTCACGCGGGGCGCCCGGAGCAGTCAGGCAGAGAGGCAGACAGCGGGGAGTGGGGGGCCCGGGGAGAACGGGAGTTACTGCCTCAGGGGTGTAGTCTCAGTTTTATACGGTGAAGGGTACAGAGACGGACGGTGGTGAAGTTGGCGCAAGACTATGAACGTACTTAATACCACTGAGCTGTACACTTAAAAATGGTTAGGATGGTAAATTTTATGCTATGTGGATTTTACCACAATAAAAAAAAATTGAAAAAAAAAGGAAGCTACTTAAAGACATAACTTATAATCATTCACCGTGCAATCCATTTAGCTCTCAAACCTCTAGCGATATTTAGAGATCTGATATTTAAATAACCCATTAAATAAAAAGCACTCTAGAGAGAGACTCAACTTCCCATAATAAGATTATGAGGTCATCCAATTGCCTTTACTGAAAGGAAAATGAAAATACGACATGTAAAAATGCGTGGAACGCCGGAAAACCCTTAGCTAGCTCAGCGGTGATCACGACCCTAGCCCCGCTGGGCCCAACCCCGCGAGCCGTCTGTTTTTCACAGACTGCAGACTGAGAACCGTTATTTCACACTTAAAAACGGGTTACGTTTTAAGTTGCTATCTAAGTAACTACACATTCTAGATTTTCGCCTCTTGGCCAGCAAAGCCTAAATTATTTATTCTCTTACTCTTTTAAGAGAAAGTTTGCTGATTTCTGAGCTAGACTGTTCGAGAAACAAAAAGGCAGAAATAGCCAATATTAGAAAACTTCCTACACACATTTAAAGGATAAGGGAATGTTATCAACTTATGCTAAAAAAGTTGTCAACTTTGATAAAAATGCATGTATTTCTTGAAAGAAAAAATTACCAAAATGGACTCGAGAAAAACAGAAAACCTAAATAACCTATGCCAACTAAAGGGATTGATTTAGTATTTTAAAACCATGTCTGTCCCTGCCAAACACACACACACGCACACACACGCACACATGCACACACCCCATATGGCTTCTCTGGAGAATTCTATGAAACATCTCAGGGAGAAATAATACCAAGTCTCACAAATTCTTTCAGATAATAGAAGGAACATTCTCCGATTCATTTCATGAAGCCAATATTATCCCCATGCTGAAGCCAGGGCGACACCACGAACGAGCCACAGACTGACGTCTGCCGTGAACACTAATCCATAGGACATGCACAGAGACGTCTGCACCAACCAGCAGCAGTAAATCAACAGCTCCAACCAGCAACATACAAGAAGGACAAAGCATCCTGAAACGGATCCATCCTGGGAGCCTGAGGTTGATTTAGCATCTGACAATTAACTGGTGTGCCATTGTTCACAGAATAACGGAGAAAAATCATAGGATTGTCTCAACAGATGCAGAAAAAGCAGTTAACAAAATTCAGTAACCACTGACGATACCAACTCTCGATGACAAAATAAAAAGTTAAGAACAATCCTCAACCAACTAGGAACAGAAGAGAAACCTCTCTGACCAGGAAGCAAAAAAAGCCAGTTTACCGCAACAGCACACTGAACGGTGACGGCCTTCCCATGGGGCTGGACGCGGGGCCGCGGTCTCGGCCCCGCCAGTCCCACTCATCACTGTGTATGATGGGAAGGGGGTCCCCCCCTAACCAGTGCGGTAAGGCAAGGAAAAGAAATAAGACACGCAGATTGGAAAGAAAGAGGTAAACTGTCTTAAGCATCGATGACGTGATTGTGTATGTAGAAAATTCTAAGCAGAAAAAAACAAACCACCTACTAGAGCTAACAGGGAATTGGTACGTATAGAACATGAGATGAATATACAAAAATCGATTTATTTCTATGTGCAAATAATGGCAGGGCAAATAGCCAGCAGAGCAACAAGTATTTTCCTGGGGAGAGGAATCGGGCAGACTAGCTGTGGGTGGGGAGAGAACCCCCATTCTGCCGTCTGTTATCGCTCTTCGATCTAAACTTACGTTATCTAGATACTGGTTAAGCTTAATTACTAGTAGAAGCCATTTTCAAATAAAATTTTATGCGGGATCCCAAAGTACATCAAGAAGCGGAGCTGGATTAGAAGCACCGGAACCAGCGCCTGGAACACAGCCTCTCTCCTTCCTGCCTGGTTACCGTGGCAACCCTCTGGTGTCCTTAAAAATGGTTGCGCTATTTCTAAGATGATAATATAAATGTTCTCTTTTTCAAAACACTACCTTTAATCAGTACACACAGTAAAAAGCAGAAGACGACTGGTCACACGGGCCTGTCGTGTGACGGTCAGGCGCTCGCCCGGGCAGCGGAGTGTCAGCTGGGGGGGCGCGCCCGCCCCCTTGGCTCCTGGGGTCCGTGTGTCATGAGTGACCTGCTCTGGAACCGGAGCACTGAGAGGCTTCCAGCGACTTCTGGGACCATGTTTGTGAACGCTGCTCCTGCCTTGGGCCAGCGGGCGCAGTCAGGGGGGTAAGGAAGCGCCACGGGCTGCACAGCCCGGGCTGGAGCCACGAGGCCGGGAGCGTCCTTGTGTGGGGTTCTACGGAGGAAACGGGGCGTGTGCGTGACCCTGCCACGTCCCTAGGGTGGGCGGGGGGCTCCCCACTGTTCAGAGACACCGGTGATTCCACGGTGCACCCTGCAGGCACTGCCCTTGGGAAGAACGCAAATGACAAGTGCACCTGCTCTTCAGCTCGGGTTTCACTGTCAAGGACTTTCCAAGAAAATCCTGGCTCGCAGACATTTGGGGACGTGGAGTGGTGGCCCGAGCCTCACCACCTCCACATGCGGCTCAAAGGGAACCGACCGAAGCCCCTCCACCTCCCAGGTCACCACTGCCGTCGGGGACGGCGCCTGGTGTGGACACGCACGACCGCGCCTCCTCCTGCCTCCGCTTACGCGATCTCAGCAAATTTCTACCCTGAAGAGAATGGCGTAAAACACACATCAAGGCAATTCCAGTTCCCTTCAGCCATCGATTTCAGGGTCTACTGCCTGTCAGCAGCATGACATTAAATTTTAGGCCCAAAGATAAAATCCAGCATGGAAAGGTCTCTTTTCCACACTTCCCACGTTTAGAAACACAGGGCGAGGAGCTTGGATCCTTTCTAACCTCTGGGCTCAAAGCTACGCCACTTGTTCAGAACCAGAAGTCATCACTGCAAGCTGACCTTCACATTTCTCGTGGAAAACAGACTCGCTAAAGATTCACATGCGTGGCGACCTTCGTCTAAAATCTCCCAAAGCACGATCTCCTTTTATGAGCTGAGCCCAAAGAACCAATGAGTAGTCACACTGTTTTACACGTGAGAAACACGTGAGAAGTGTATGATGAAACAGACCTACTGTGTGCAGAAAGAAGACATTTTCTGCTCACATATGTCCGCATGGATCTGCACGTGTACATCATGCCTCGGAACGTTCATTTCCTTGCAACTGTAAGGCTATCATCCTGATTATTATGCGTGTGGTAATGAACAGACAACTTTGTTAGGCTTGTTACAGAAGATACGTGAGTTTCAAGTGGCCTGTCCCTAACCAGTTTTTACGTAAATACTTTTTGGTTTTGGTACACAGTTTCGGAGAACTTAAGAATTTTTAGGAACATACCGCATTACAGCAGAAACCTCCATATACAAAATAGCTAAGATGATCGTCGAAACGCCACTGTAACGTCCTCTCTCTAAACGGCCGTGTCGTCGAAACGCCACTGTAACGTCCTCTCTCTAAACGGCCGTGTCGTCGAAACGCCACTGTAACGTCCTCTCTCTAAACGGCCGTGTCGTCGAAACGCCACTGTAACGTCCTCTCTCTAAACGGCCGTGTCGTCGAAACGCCACTGTAACGTCCTCTCTCTAAACGGCCGTGTCGTCGAAACGCCACTGTAACGTCCTCTCTCTAAACGGCCGTGTCGTCGAAACGCCACTGTAACGTCCTCTCTCTAAACGGCCGTGTCGTCGAAACGCCACTGTAACGTCCTCTCTCTAAACGGCCGTGTCGTCGAAACGCCACTGTAACGTCCTCTCTCTAAACGGCCGTGTCGTCGAAACGCCACTGTAACGTCCTCTCTCTAAACGGCCGTGTCGTCGAAACGCCACTGTAACGTCCTCTCTCTAAACGGCCGTGTCGTCGAAACGCCACTGTAACGTCCTCTCTCTAAACGGCCGTGTCGTCGAAACGCCACTGTAACGTCCTCTCTCTAAACGGCCGTGTCGTCGAAACGCCACTGTAACGTCCTCTCTCTAAACGGCCGTGTCGTCGAAACGCCACTGTAACGTCCTCTCTCTAAACGGCCGTGTCGTCGAAACGCCACTGTAACGTCCCCTCTCTAAACGGCCGTGTCGTCGAAACGCCACTGTAACGTCCTCTCTCTAAACGGCCGTGTCGTCGAAACGCCACTGTAACGTCCTCTCTCTAAACGCCGTGTCGTCGAAACGCCACTGTAACGTCCTCTCTCTAAACGGCCGTGTCGTTTCAAGACCTGAGGTAAGCCACCTCTCCCCTTAAAACTGTCTCAATTCTCGTCAAATAACTGAATTTACTTTTTTAGCAACTACGTCGACCTTTTGTCGAGATAACGCTGAAAAGAAATACTAAGTGGCCATAACGTTCCCCCTTCCTCTGTGACGTTACAGGGAAATCGGAGACATTTTTATTACCCAGAAACAAAGCAGAGACTTTCCCTCGGTCTGTCTAAATCTAGACCGCGAGGTCCGCCCCACGCCCGCCCCCAGAGGCGTCACTCAGAGAGGTCACGCAAGCGCGAGGACACTATTAATTTCTCACCTTTTTTTTAGATCGAGGTCTAGGCTGTTCCTCATATTCTTCTCCAAAAACAGGTGGTAACAAAAACTCATTTTCCATATCAAGCTCCTCGGCAGCTGACAATCGAATCAGAAGGACTTGTAGTGCAGACGCAAGCGCACAGGCTTAGGTCACACAAACACGGAGTGCGGGCGGGCGCCTGCACGCGGGGACGCCCGC